TCCTTGGTTTTATCTAATGGATTAACAATGGATGATTATTATGATCAGGGATGATGATGATCTGACAAATTCAAAAAAAAATTATAGCTCACTTGTGTTGGAAATGAAGCCACAACATCAATTCCTACAAAATCAGAGCGCGGATAATCATTTGCACATTCCATCAACCAGGCTCCCGGCCCGCACCTTTTTAGCAACAATATAATATTGGAGAGGGAAGTGAGTAAATAAATATAAATTTCGTCACATATCTCTTAATATGATGAATGAAATAATCACCCAATATCAAGCGTTTTACAATTTCCGCGTTTCAATAAATCTTCCATTGGAGAAGAAAAGTTTGATTTCCATAAATATCTAAATAGGAAATGCTGCCTTTGTAATCTATCGTGTTCTTCGTTATCATCAGGCATTTGATATCTTATATTTTCACCAACAAAGTTTTGATATCTTCTTCCCTCGACATATCTGAAGGTTGGTAATGAAGGTCTTTTAACTTGTAATGATGATGGTGATAAAGGTGATGACTTGAGTGATGATAACAATGATAAATTTAATGATTTCATTGGTCTTAATAAAGGTCGTTTTATTGTTGATGATGGTGGTGATGTCGTAATCGCTAATGTTGTTGATGTAAAAGATGAAGATGATGCATAGGAATGGGAACCTTTTGAAGTATTTTTTGTGTTATGATTTCCCATTATTGGAAAAAAAAATTTTTTTTTTTTGAAGATGGAACGTATATATAAAAAAATTTTCAAAAAAGAAAAAAAAAGGAAAAATAAGGGAAAAATATTCGTTTTTTTAGGTTAATTGTTAGTGGTACAAACAAACAATTTGAATTAAAAGAAATAAGTCCCTTTCTTTTCTTAATGTTAAACTTTAATTTATTTATTTATGGATGTTAAAGTAATGTATGCCCGATATTCACTCCATTGTTAATTAGTACTATTTATTAATCAATCAATTAGGTGCTATTTTATTTTCTTATCTTATTTATATTACTAGTAATAGTAATAAGTTATTAATTTGATTGAATTAATGATCAAAATATTATTAATATATATTTTCAGTTTAATTTGGAAAACAAAATGATAAAAAATAATAATGTACTAGTACACTTTAACATCAATTAATTTTAGAAAAAAAAAAAATTTAGGCATTTAAGTTTAGTATTAGGTGAATGTTATTATAATAGCTATAAATAATAATAATATCTCCATATATTGGCAATTATCAAAACAATTGCCACGCACGAATACTATCAGATGACATAAATGATAATAATAATAACCATTTAAAATTTTTATTCTAATAATCTAAAGTCGGATAAATTTATCCGTCAGGTGTTTCTTTTTTATTGAAGGGGTAAATCAGACCATGGCCTCCTTTTCTTTTTCTTAATAAAGTACACATATTTTATTGCTTTATTAACTAACAAAAAAAAAAAGCTTGAGGGTAAATACGACCAAAATTTCTTGTAGAGAGTATCAACAGTAGTTGGCAAATTGTTTATTATATTACAACTGGGTCATGTATACTTTTAGACAGAAGGATTCACAACGATGTATTAGTATGGTAATAAGAAATATGACAAAAGATTTCCAATTTCCAATTGAGAGTGATGAGCCAAAAAAAAAAACAAATGCATAGTAATAAAAATGCGTAAAATATCAACCACGTTGTAGCGATTTTCAAGAAAGTCTTTTATGATCAAGGTGTATGTATGTATGTACGTGATCGCGAGAATTTGCAAGGCGTCCGTGAATTCGTAAGAAAAGGGATAGATGAGATTATAATTAAATCGGATGATCCATCATTGTTGATCATGAAACAGAATGGTACACTGTTATTAGGATTGATGCTACAAGATTAATTAAATTTTGATGTTTATGACATATGTGTGATATTTA